AGAACCAAGATGCATTATGTAAAGGTACAATTCCCAATGAGAAATGTAATTGTGTTGTATACCTACAATGTACCAATAAAAGAATTTAATATAAAAAACCCCTCAAAAATATTAGACTCCCCCCAAAACTAAAAGACCCAAACAAAAAATTGGCAAAAAAAATGAATAGACACTTCACAGAAGAAGTACAAATGGCCAATAAATATATGAAGAAATGCTCAACACTGCTGGCCATTAGAAAAATGCAAATTAAAACAAAACAGATTCCATTTAACCACAGAAAGAATGGTAATCATCAAGAAATCAAATAACAAATGCTCATGAGGCTTTGGGTGGGGTGCTTCTACACTGTTGGTAGGAATGTAAACTAGTACAAACATTATGGAACTCAATATGAAGATTACTCCAAAAACTGAAACCAAAAATTCCATTTGACCCAGCTATTCCCCTTCAAGGTATCTTCCCGAGAGTTAAAAACATCATATTACAGTGATACATGCATACCCGTGTTTGTAGCAGCAAATTTATAACAGCTAAATCTTGGAAGCAGCCTATATGTCCATCAACAGATGAATGGATAAAGAAAATGTGGTATTTACACATAAAGAAAGATAAATTTGAGTCATTTTTAGGAAAATGGAGGCATCTTGAGACCATAATGTTAAGAGAAATAAATCAGGCACACCAGCTTAAATATCTCATGATTTCTCTTACATGAGAAACTCAAAGTATAAATAAAAAGTAAACTAAAAGATAATAGGAAGTAGGGAGATAGATCTTTCTCAAATGGGAAGGGGATCAAGAGATAGAGGAAGGGGGAAGGGAACAGAGGGAAAAGAGAAGAAAGAATTGAGATGTGTTACATACACATACCAACTCCACGTAAGGTATGGAAACATTATGTACTGCAAACATGTATAAAAAAAAAAGGAAAGGGATCAAAAGATGGATAGAGTGGGAGGGAGGGAAGGGAAAGGGGATGAAATAGGAATTGGTGTACTATGTGCATGTGCCAGCTCCCCACAAGGAATGTAACCATTCTGTACTACAAACATGTACTAATAAAAAAAGAGAAGAGGGCTGGGGATTTAGCTCAGTGGTTCCGCTGCCTGCCTCATAAGCACAAGGTCCTGAGTTTGATCCCAGGTACCAAAAAAAAAGAGAAGGGCTGGCAATTTAGTTCAGTGGTGCAGCCACCTGCCTTGCAAGCATAAGGTCCTGAGTTTGATCCCAGGTACCAAAAAAAAAGAGAAGGGCTGGCAATTTAGTTCAGTGGTGCAGCCACCTGCCTTGCAAGCATAAGGTCCTGAGTTTGATCCCCAGTACCACAAAAAAAAAAAAATTTAAATAAAATAAGTAACAGTACTAATGATTAAAGCCACTGGCAAAATAGAAAACTGAGTCTAAACCTACATTAATAAATTGAAATTTCGGTAAAGAAAGAATAAATATAATTAGTTGCAAAGTACTTCCCAACAAAATACCAATTAATTTCAAAGTGGAAAAGAGTAACTTTGTAATGGAGAAGCCTGGCAGGTGTCACCATAATGGGATAATCAAAGTAAATAATGGGATAAGTCAAAAGCATGTAACTAGTAACAGTGTGACTTCAATGATATCCTGCCAAAGATGCATGATCTGAAACTAAGCACAAGGAAACATCAGACAAATTCAAATTTAGGCACATTTTTCAATACAACTAGTCTGTTCTCTTAAAAGTATCAAGTTAAGTCGGCATGGTGCCCCACGCCTGTAATACCAGCACTCAGGAGGCTGGGGCAGGAGGATTACCGTGAGTTCCAGGCCACCCTGGACTACATACTGAGTTCAAGATCAGCCTGCAGCGAGACCCTGTCTCAAAAAAAATGGATCATGAAAGCCAAGGAAAGACAAGAAAAACTTTCAGATTGAAGGTGACTGAAGAGCTATCACAATTAAGGGCAATTCATGATTCTGATATTGAGACAACTGGTAAAATTTGAATTGAAATTGATGATTAAGTGGTAGTAAACATCAATATTAATTTCTTGATTTTGATGACTGTATTATGGTAATATAGAAGCACGTCTTTTTTTGGCAGTGTATATTCAAGTATTTCAGAGTGATAGGTTAGAAATGTATCCCCCAAATAGTTCAGAGAAAAGTTTTACTATACATTCCTGTAAGTCTGAGGTGGTTTGAGATGATAAATATGGATATATTTTTAAACTCTATATAGATATTTCTTGTTTAACAATCAAGTTATGGTCTTGTGACTAGGTAAAGTGAACTGGTTGCTAAATAAGGAACTGTATGTAGTATGTACATTACAATATTCAGAACAAAGAAATGGTCAAAGAAAACTCCAACTTGATGACTTTGTTTTTATTTGTGTAACTGGTTTTTTTTTCCTTCAGTCCCAGGGACTGAACTCAGGACCTTGTGCTTCCAAGGCGGATGCAGCAGCACCAACTGAGCTAAATCCCCAGCACTATTTGTGTAACCCTTAAGTACAGTACTGTAATGCATAATAGAATGCAAAATTGCAGTACAGTACTGTACAGTGCAATCTGCAAAAATTACAGCACTACATAAACCAGGTGCACTGTACGAAACCATTAAGGCTACATGTAAACAAGATGTACATGGTACAAAAAAAGAAAATAGGTCATAAGTCTGAAAAACGCACCTAAGTCATAAGCAGTGGCTAAACAGGTAGGTTGTTAAACAAGGAATCTCTTTGTATGTATATACATAACATATACATACAAATGCACAGGGGCCTGGGATTTAGCTCAGTGGTTTCGCTGCCTGCTGTGTAAGCACAAGGACCCAAGTTAGATCCTGGTACCAAAAAAAAAAAACAAAAAGCAAAAAAAACAAATACACATATATATCCGTAATGCATCAACAACTGCAGGATCTTCCTAATGATGTGCATGCAAGATCTAGCACAGTCTAATCCCAACTTATCCACCAATCTCATTTAGACAACTTACTAACCAAGTGTCGTAGTTACTTGTTGCTGAGACAAAATATTCATCACCCAAAGTTAAAGGAGGGAAGGTTTATCTAGTGCAGACTGTAGAGGTTTCAGTTCATAATCGGCTGGCTCCAAGGCAGTGTGGCATGGCAGACAGGCATTACAGGGGAAAAACAATTCATGGCAGGCAGAAGGTAGCAAAGCAACAAGGGACAGCCACAGCTCTTTCTATCCCTTATATGTTATCCAGGCTACATAGGGTGGGTAGCACTCACACCCTTAATCCTAATGCCCTTGATCCTAGCATTGCACCATGTATCAATTCCAACGTCACACATTCTAGATCCAGCCACCTCTGGAAAAGCCCCATCTATGATCGAATGAAGCTTTGGGGGGACATCTAGATCCAAGCCATAACACCAAGTTAGAGGGTTCCTTGCAGGGTCCTTTTTGCTCCCTGAATGTCTCACATTCTTCCTCCTTTCTCAAACTTAATCTGCACCTAGTGATATCCTTGAAGGTCCACTCCAAACAATTTCCAAGTTCTTGAAGCCTTTTCTGATTTCCCCAAAGAATGTTACTTCCCCTTCCTTTAACTCTTTTGAGTAGTTTTTCTGTATCTGTGTCCAGTTCTTCTTGCAAAGCACCTGCACAGTACAACCTTGCACACTGAAAATACTCAATTTTTAGAATCATGTGGAATTTTGACTTGAGTATAGGACATCTTGTGCATATGAAGTCCTCTTTATTACATTTCCAGAAGACAGAAACTGTAACATTATTTTATTTCTCTTAAAATTATTATGGTCACAATGCCAATATTTCAAGTGTATATTAAAAGCTCTCAGTTTAGTTTACACCATAATACCCCCAGCATTCCTTCAGCATGTTTACCATCTGAATAATTTCCTGCTTTGCACTGAGTGGGATATACATATGGTATTTTTTTTTCTTCAATGCACCATGTGGCAAGCAAAATGACAACTCTCTGCAAAAATGTCCACCTCCTAATCCCAAGAACCTGTGAAAAATATTAGAATATACTGCAAAGGAGAATTAAGGCTCTAGATCAGTAACAGTAAACCTATGGCACAGGTGTTTTGTTTTGTTTTGTTTTTCCTAAGACAAAAGATGTTAAGGTATGAGTTCTTTTTTCTAAACTAAGACCTCAGTAGTCAGGTTTAATTGTGGTGTTGGCACTTTGTAATAAATGAGTTTTGGGTCGCAGTTTAGCCACTTGTCTCTAAAAGGTTCGCTAGCACTGCTCTAGATTGAGTTCAGGTTGCTATTCAGCTGTCTTTTAAATATGTAAATCGTTGTGGATTATCCATCTTGGGCAACATGGCAAGAACCTGTCTCAAAAAATGAAATAAAAAGTGAGAACCTGGGCCAGGGATGTAGCTCAGTGGCGCCGCGCCTGCCTTGCAAGCGCAAGGTCCTGAGTTCCATCCCCGGTACCAAAAACAAAAACAAAACAAAAAACTTTGCATATTACAATAAGTGAGACAAGACTGCAGAACTCTACGCCTAACAAGGAGAATAATCTTCTTAAGAAATCTGTTTCCCTGAGTACTGTCTGGAGACACTCCAAGAAAACAGTGGAGAAACATAAATCACTTTAAGTTTCAATTTCCCGAATGAGGCGCAGCAAACAGACAACCTGGTATGAGGAGGTCCCCACGGCCCCAAGAAGGCTACGCGGCCCAGAGGCGGGTGCGTCCTTGGGGACTACGTGATCTCAGGGACTCCGACCCCAAGCAGCACTGGAGCCGCTAGCCTGGGGGCCTGGGTCCCCAACCCCGCGCGGTTCCGGGCCGCGAGAACCGCCTCGCCCGCCCCACCCCGCCGCCGCCGCCGCCACCGCCCTACTGCCCCAAACTGCCGGTGGCGGGAACCGCAGCGGGCAATCGGAGGCCACTCACCGGCTACTGCCAGACCAAAACGGCGCCCGGGACCTGCGCTCGCCCTTCCTGGAAGCCCTCAGCGCCGGCAGCCGGAACCCGACGGGCTGGGCCCTGGGCTGGAGCTGGCGCTGCCTCCGTCGATCTGAGGTGCCCTCGGAATAGGTGTCCTTGCTTGGTTCCTTTAAAAAAAGAAAAAAGAAGGAAAAAGAAAATGAAAACTTCAAATGTACGTTTTGTCTTTAAAATTTAACCATTGCTTGAAACACCAAACCTGTGTTTCCAGTGATTAGCCACTAACTGAAACAAAAGGTTAAAACTAATTTCACTTTCGATTTGTAATGCATGGTTGTTAGCATTAGCCCAAAACGTACTCCTGAAGTCTCTATAAATACTGATTTAAGGACTTTTTTTTTTTTTGAGACAGGATCTCCTTATGTAGTTCAGTCTGACCTTGAACTCACGATGTAGTCTAGGCTGGCCTTGAACTCACAGCGATCCCCGAACCTCAGCCTCCGGAGTCCTGGGATTACAGGCTTATGCCACCATGCCTGGCAGGAAATGTTTTTTAAAATCACATTTTTAGGTGTATTTTACAGAATGTTTTGTTACAAAAATGGATAGAAACTAAATAAAGTCAAAAGGCTCTCCAGATCGTAACTCTCATTGTAATTTATTAAACTTAATAACTTTAGTTTACAAATTTTTACATCCAGCTCAAGGCCCACTGTTCTATCTTCTCAACATAACCCTGGGCCTCGCAGTTAGGAAAGCTGTGGTGTTAGGTTGGTTTCTATGGCCCATGAACCTTTGAAGTTTTCTTATAATTTTTTTGTTGTTCTTGTGAAGTTTGCAAACAAATACTTCACTAGGTGTGAACTTTTCCTTTGACATTTAAAAAAAATAGTAATCTAGCTTATTTCAAGAACTACAGGGGCCTGGGATTTAGCTCAGTGGTTTGGCCGCCTGCTGCGCAGGCACAAGGACCAGAGTTCGATCCCCGGTACCAAAAAAAAAAAAAGAACTACAGTGTTCCCTAATCCTACATGAAGAGCCACCTCACAGTGACACTTGCTCATAAATAGAGGTGGAGGAAGGAGATGTATCAAAATGATTTCAAGGGCTAGATTCTACTTTATGGTACCATACAGTTAGCTGTACATGGTAACCAACAGTGGACTAAAATTACAGTTTAGCATAAGCAAAATCCCTTTATATGAAAAATGTTGATGGGAGGCTGAGGCAGGAGGATCACAAATCCCAGAACAACCTAAACATCTTAGCAACCCTATCTCAAATGTAAAAAAAAAAAAAAGAAGGGCTGGGAAAGAAGCTCAGTGCAAAGGTGCTGGGTCCAATCTCCAGCACTGGGCGGGTAGAGGGAGATGTTGAGTTTAAAGAGGCACTTGTAAGTACAAAAGAAGTTTTCAGTGTTGAATAATAAGGGGTGTGTGTGTGTGTGTGTGTGTGTGTGTGTGTGTGTGTTCATCACCCCATATAGAAAGTATTAAAACTCCATGTGTTGAAACTCCAGAAAAAAAAATTACCTCTGTTTTACCCTGGAATGTTAAAGGGAGAATAAACTTCTTAGATAAAATTTACAGGAGGGCATTAGTTTGAACTGAGCTCCTCCACTAGGCGCCATCAGACCAGACCAAAGTGCAGTTACTCCTGCTGAAGCTCCACATCACCAAGAAGAAATTCAGTTATCTGACCTTTCAAGAAATCAGGAGAGCAATAATTTCCAAACCCCTAAACAAGCCAGCTTTAGCCAGCATGGTAAGGAAGTCTCCAATCCTTTAATCTTTACAAGGACAGTAACTTTGAAATCTACTCTTTGTTCCCTGATTCTGCTTTCTTCTGCCCTTCTTTGCCTATAATGCTTACATCCCAGGCAGGGGATGAAGCTCAGTTCTAGAGCATTTGCCTTGCATGTGTAAGGTGGTAGGTTCAATGCCCAGCACTGCAAAAATTACTTGCTTAGTTAAAAATTTTAAAAGCAGCAGCATCCTCTTCTCAACAAATCAGAGGGCCAGGGATTTAGCTGAGTAGTTTTGCTGCCTGCTGCGCAAGCGCAAGGACCAGAGTTCAAGGTGCCAAAAAAAAAAAAAAAAAAGATAAATGAGCAAGGACCTGAGTTTGATCCCCCCCCCAAAAAAAACAAATCGGAAACTGATTCTTGAAGCACATAAGCCAGTTAAATCTTTAAACTAAATTTGCTGTAGTATTTGTCTTTTGACAAACTCTAGAGGTTGTTTAGTTCAATCTCATTTCTTCTTTTATTGTATTCATAGTTTTTATAAGGAGACATTAAGAGACAGGATTACAACTAGAACAATGCTGATCTAATATAGACTCAGACCCTGTTCAAAGAACAAAGAACAACAGGTTGGAAGTACCCCAGTGGTACATTACATGCTTGCCTAGCATGTCAGGCCCTGGGTTTTATCCCCAGCACTACCAAAAAAACCCCCAGCAAGGGCCATATGGTAACAATTTAAATTCAACCCAGCTTTAAAGCCATAGTCTGCAAAGCACTGGATACATGAAGATGACCAGTCAGCTCCTGTATATATTATTATTAATAGTTGTAATTGCTAACATATAGTGAGAACTCCTGGGAATTTAATTTTGCTAACAACAATATGAGATATTTTGTAGACAAAGAAACTGAAGTATAAGAAGATAATCCAAAATAAGCGCCGGAGATGTAGTCAGGGGTAGAGTGCTTGCCAAGCACACCCTAAAACCCCAACAAAATAAGAAGCAGTCCAAAAGCAAGCAGTTATATTAATTTAGTATCATATTCTACTCTCAACTACAAAATCAGTGCCTCCAAATTGTGTTCTATGGTACATGGATGAGAAGGAATTCTATGGCCACATGTGATTAGGAAATGCTGTGTACTGAATTTAATTTTGAAGATTCACAATGCACATCAGCACACTGAGAGTTCTCAGAAATATTACAGGAAAAAATAAAGCACACACGAGAAAAGTTTAACTTCATTAACAAACTACTTTGACCAATAAATCTTTGTCCCCCCAAAGAAGAGCTGTTAAATCCTGAAATTTTTCTAATGGAATAATTTGAGTAATCTGTTACTAAATCATACCATCTAACATAAAAGTTATTTCCCAAGTGTCTTTGCACTCATGAATATTATGTCTGCACCTTGAACACCGCAAGTAAATCTACACAAATAGGAGATGTATGCTATACATTTATCTCCACCAAACAGCAGGAATAAACTCTTTCCAAAACACACACACACACACACACACACACACACACACACCAGTGTTCCATACAGTGTAATGGTGTAATGTGTACTATGGAGAGATAGAAAACAAGGAGTAATAACAGACAAAGGAGACAGTAGTCTAATAACCTTTACCTGACCAGGGCAGGAAAAGTTTCCTTCACAGCAAACATGAAGAGTGAGTTGATTCTTAAAGATATAGAAATTGGATTGAAACAAAGTCAGGAGAAATATCCCAGAGACATGTTCAATGGATTTAATGTTTATATTACCCTCAAAATTCCTGCATTGAATTTGGATTGGAGTCTATATTAGGTGGGATTCCATTCACTGGTACACAGTAATCAGCACCTGAAACTAAAATAGGCAAGGGTTATTTTGACTCAGTTTCAGTGGGTTCAGTTCTTGACCAGCAGGTTCGAAGACACAAACAGCATGATGAAAGGTCATAGAAATAGGGAAGAGAGAAATGGGAAAGAGAGGAGCAGAGGAAAGGGAAGAGCCAAGAATAGGAATGTACCCTTCTAGGTCACATCCCCTGTGACTCACCACCAACCAGGCCCTACTTCCTAACAGTGCATTCAGCTAGTGAACTTATCAATGGATAAATCCCCTGATGAGTTGAATGTCTGTGATCCAATCACCTTCCAAACACATGAGATTTGAGGGTACATTCCAGATCTAAACCATAACATTTGACATCAAATCCATGCTTTTTAGCTACACAATACTCTTTTACTATTCATATGTTCCAATAGGAACCCTTTTGGGAACAAAAATGACATTATGTAATTTTTTTGTATCTCCTAGGATCTTGCACAGTGCTGGTCATAACAGTTCTGCTTCCCCAAGGATGAACTTCCAACTGTATTCTCAAAATCTTAGCACAGCAGAAGTTTGGTATACTAGACCTTTTCTAAAAGGAAGATATTGGATATCAGGTTGCATTCTCATGGTGTGCATACCCACTAAACTCTTGGTGCATGGAACACAGAGACAGTATACTCATCAGTATAGTGATGGGCTAATCCACTGTTGAATTCATACCAGAATGTGCTGTTGAGTGGTGGCCTGATGAGAAGAGAAAGAAGAGATGAGTGACTGGAGGTGTGACCTGGAAAGGTATATCTTCCTCCCTGGCTGTTCTCCTCATATTGTTTCCTGGCCACTGTGACATGAGCAGCTTTCCTTCACCAGACCCTTCCATCATGCCATTTCTGCCTTGCAGCCAGCCAACTATGGACTGAAAATGTGAACCAAATGAACCTCACATAATTTAAATTGTACATGTTGGATATTTTGTCCACTTTTCCAATGAGGAAAGTGACTAAGACAGATTTTGGAAACAGAAAAGCAGAGTCATTGCCATAACTATACCTGACCATGTGGTTCCAAAGCCTTTGGAAATTGTTCATGAGAAGAGTTTGGAAAGATTTGGTGATGCCAGCTAGAGAACCTCTAGAATGATACAAGTCAAGCTTGATGGGAGATTCTAGTTGGAGCTCAGAAGACTAGAATCCTGCTAGAAATGCAGATGGTAAAGGCCAGGCTGAGGAAGTTTCATTGGGAACAAGGACTCCATTGACAGTTGGGCTGCAGACCATGTATGCTATGCTCTGGCAGAAAATGTGTCTACATAAACTGAGACTACAGAAGACTGAGACTAAGGGCATTGGACTAATTAATCTAGTAGAGGAAATTTCAAGGCAGTTCAATATTGAGGGTGTGGCATAGGTACTGCTGGCTTCTTCTGGTCATATCTACGGTAAAAATCTGGAGCAAATATTAGAGCCAAAAGATGTTAAAATGTACAGTTTCATCAGAAAGGAAGTACCTACAAAGTCAGGGCCTTGGGGAGCAAAATTGCCAAAAAGATTAGCATTAAAAAGTGCCAGAAGGGGCCAGGGACTCAGCTCAGTGGCACTGCACCTGCCTTGCAAGCATAAAGTCCTGAATTTGATCCCGGGTACCAGAAAAAAAAAGCACCAGGAGTGGTGCCCCATTCCTGTAATCCCAGCACTTGGGAAGCAGAGACAGGAGGATCACTGTGAGTTTGAGACTAGCCTGGGCTGCATAGTTCAGACCCAGCCTGAACTACAAAGCAAGACCCTATCTCAAAAAAGAAAAACAAAAAAAACCCTCCAGGTACTTCGCATCAGGGGAATAGAAAAGATCCCTTATGAGCATGTCAGGTATCAGCAAGACATCACTGGCTCAAGGATGTGAAAGGGTAAAGGTAAATTTCTTTGAAAGTCCTTGCTTTGAGAAGAGAACTCTAAAGTACCTGCTCAATAAGGGCTGCATAGGGATTAGTTCCCTGGAATTTGGTTCCCAGACCTCAGCCATCTAAACTGGGGGAGGCCTTTGCAGTCATTATCCAAGGAAACCCAGCTCCTGCTCAAGCTGGTGGCAGAACGTGGCGTTATCTACCTGGTGCTGGTTTAATAGGAAGATCGAATGCAAGAATTGTGGGGTCAGGGAGGCTTTCACCCTAATTTCAGGAAAAACCCTGGGAGGCCAGGAAGTGTGGCTCTCAGAGGGCAGTGCACGTGTGAGTAAAGCAGAACGCAGAGTGGAGAGCATAGTAAGTTGGAAAAGCCAGAAATATGGAAGGTCTTCTGAGGATAGTCACAATCACTGAGCAGAACCACCCCAAAAGAGAGGCTGTGAAGGCTGCAACCAGCAATGGCATAGGGGCAGGACCATCCACGCTATTTGGAACTCAAATCTTGCCGCAACTTGCCATGGGTGCAGGACATGGAACTACAGGACTTAATGCTTGTTTTACTGGTTTTCGGTCTTGCTTTGGTCCCATTTCTTTCTATCCCATTTCTCTCTTTTGGAATGGGAATGTTTACCCTATGCCATTTGATATTGGGGTTAAATTTCTTTGTGATTTTTATAAGGCCTCACAGATTAGAGTTTGCCTTGCATCTCAGAGGAGACTTTGGACTTGAATTTTTCAGCACTGCTAAAATTGTTAAAACTTTGGTGACTCTTAGAGATGGATTTATGCATTTTGCAGAATGAGGTGGACATGAGCCTTCTGGGAACCAAGAACAGAATGTTATGGTTTAGAGCTAGAATGGTTTAGAGCTATGTGTTTGGAAGGTGATTGGATCATTATGGCACTATACTCATTAGGGGATGAATCCACACCTGAATGTGCTATTAAGAGATGTGCCTGGTTGGAACAGGCAGGTTACTGGGGCAGGACCTAGAGGAATACATTTACCTCTCTGTTTCTCCCTTCTCTCTCTGCTTCCTGACTACTATGGTGTGATCAGCTTTCTTCTACTGGACTCTTCCACCATGCCATTTCTGCCTTGGATCCAGCCAACTATGAAATGAAAATATGAGCCAAAATAAACATTTCCTCCTTTAAGTTATGGGTGTCAGTTTCTGGTTTTAGTTGTTGTTGCTTTGTTTTGTTTTGTTTGTTTTTTGAGAAAATGCAATGAGAAATTGACTAAGACATCAGATATAGATTTAAATACCAATTTTAAATTACTGATGTTGTCCATTCTAAATTTTCTTATCTGTTAAATGAAGCTATCATAAATAAAACAGAGCTCAACATCAAGCACATACTCTGCCATAGTAAACCTCCAGTAATTTAATTTCAGTAAATTATATGTTATCATCTTATATTATGGTGACTTTTTTATCAATCTTTCTAGCACTTTTTTTCTTTTTTATATTCCTTATCTAGAGAAGTACTGTCAAGCCAAATACTTTTTTTTTTTTGTACCAAGGATCAAACTCGGGTCCTTGCACTTGTGGGGCAGGCGGCGGAACCACTGAGCTAAATCCCCAGCCCTAAATACTTTTTCTTAACAGAATTTTTTAAAGCTGTCTACACTGGCTTCTGCCTCAGCCTTCTGAGTACCTAGGATAACATCATGCACTATCACTTCCAGCCAAAGACCTTTTTAAAAAATTTTTCTTTTAGAGCATCTGTAGTTTCTAGTACAGTGACTATACCTAGTGTGTGTTGTATAAATATTATTTCTAGCTAATGGTTAAGTACCTGAATAGAAGTCAAATGCTCTAGCCCTTTGTATAGGTTTTCATATTCACATGTGTGAATAAGCCTGTATATGTGAATAAACTATTGTGAGACAGATCAAATATTTAAAAACAAAAATAAAGTCAAGCAAAATAATAATAGAAATTAAAGGGCCAGGAATATAGTTCAGTGGTGCCTCTGCCTGCCTTGCAAGCACAAGGTCCTGAGTTCAATCTCCAGTACCAAAAAAAGAAAAAGAAAAAATAATAATAATAGGAATTAAAGAATAAAAGATTTTAGTGCTCACTTTGGCAGCACATACACTGAAGAATAACAGATTTTATCTTATTGAATCCTCCCTGGATTACTGATTTATCATATAAATATAATTGATCATTCAGAAAATTCTGTCATGTTAAAGTATATAGAGAAGGAAGTACTGTTTTTGATGATTTTAAGAGGAACATTTAAGTGTTTTTCCCATGAACTTCAGACTTACAAATAAATACTGATGCTCAATATCCAAACCTGTAAAATATCAAGCAATAAGCCTCAATAATACATTAAATTATTTTGAGAAAATCCAAGAAGTTTTCCTATTGTATTTTAATTGTAAACTAAAAGCTGCATGTGACAGAACTTTCATTGGATGAATTAATGGTAGCATAAACCCAAAAATTTGGTTTAAACTTAAAATCACAAGAAAAAAATGTTCAAAGGATCTTAAGAGTCTCTGAGACTCAAAAAAGAATGTAACTTTGAAATGTTGAAAAATAGAAATATGAAGTTATTGTTTGATCAACAAAATCCCAAATGAGAAAGACTCATGCAAAGCATCCAAGTGATCATTGCAGCCTCTTAGAGAGCTCAGTTTTTAAGAAAGTCTGCATACAAATAGTGAAAACAGCTAGAGAAGTATTAGAAGAAATTATTTTCCTGGACTACCTTTGTTTGGTTTTGTTTTGTTTTGTTCTTAATTTGAGAATTTATAGTTTATTTTTGCCTAACAAGCTATACAAAGCATTCTAGAAATTGTCAAGAGACAAGTTTCTGGTTGATGTTGGAGTAAATTACTGATCTATACAGAATGTTAAAAACATAGGTAAAATAGTTCAACTTTTTTCTTTAAATTAAATATGTTTTCTCAGTCTTAGCAAGCCTAATTGTATGACGGAAAACAATTACCATGTACATTAAGTATAGTACGTGATCTTTGTTGATGTCCCTTGAATGTGTGCCATAGTTTCAAGAAAGGGATAAATGTATTTCTGGACAAGAAGACATCCTATATTGTTCATAAAAATCAGCTAAACCACTTATTAAAATACGTGTTCCAATTCTGCAGGCTTTTGGTGGATTCTGAGATCTTAAGGTTCCCAGTTGGTGTTGGGTTTTAGACTATACTTTGAGCAGCAACACTGTACTAACAAGTTAACTAATGCAAAAAATCAGAAATTGTCAATCCACGGAGTGGGGGTGGAGTCTGTTTGATATTATACCTGGCTCTGCTATGCTGGAGGGGCCTTTTTCCTGATTTCCAGCATGGCTGATCCATTAATGAAAAGTGGAGTTTTTCTATGACTCCATACTGCCTTTCTCCCGAGGAAGGACCAACATGTTCTGGTTTCCCATGCCGTCTCCTTCAGAGACCCCTGACTCCTTGCCTGTGACTGGGCTACCATTATAGGAACTCAAATGGAAAAGGAAGAAGTAATCTGTGAGAGTGAATGGTTCAAAATGACAGCAGATAAAGGAAGTGAGGAGAAGCCAGGAAAAAAGAAACAGTGTATCTGGAAATAAGAATAATATTCTTTTCTCTTTCATTAATTATTCATTTCCATTTATTCTAAATAGATTCCCCTCATGTGCAATGTAACTAAATAAAATGATCTCATCCACAGGACTCATTTTAATAACAAAATATCCGGGGCAGTTTGGCGATGTCTGATATATAAAAACAGTGTTAATTTATAACTCTCAGGGCTTAAACTCCTCCAGAGAAATTATAAATAAAAATAAGCTTCATCCCCAATAAAAATAAAACCAAAAAAGTGCCCTTCAGATCTTTGTGCTGGGTGACTTTATGATTTGGAACGGAAATAGTATTGTCTTAGGAGAGTAACGTCAGCTGTTTTTCAATCTTTTGAGGATGAACTCTAATTTTTGTGGCAGTACTCAAAGTTTTCTCAAGTGGATGAATACAGCCAGTAGGCTGATTTGTGACGTAAATCGTACTACTTTAAAATCACCAGGAGAACCACGGTGGATCTTTGCTTTGATACTTACCAGCTCTGTGAAGTGAGGTATATGTGACAGATTTAGCATAAAATGGATGCCCAAAAAAAGATTACTACTTATATATCCTTTTAGCTTTTGTGGGTCAGTTTCTCATTTTCCTCAAATAAAAATGTTATTCCACTTTCCACAGCTGTGAAAAAAATACCTGAGGCAATCAACTTAGGTGAGGAAAAGATTATCATGGCTCACAGTTGAAGAGGTTTCAGTCGACAATCACTTGGCCCTATTCCTTTGGGTCTGTGGCAGCCCAGGACATCATGGCCAGAGCACATGGTGAAGAAAGCCTGTTTACCACATGGTAGCAGGAAGCAAAGATAGACACAGGAAGGGCCTGGGACCTCAATACCCTCTTCAAAGGCAGAGCCCAATGACCTCACTTCCTCCCATGATGACTCCTCACCTCTTAAATGTTTCACCACCTCCCAGTAGCACGACAGGCTAGTGATCATTCATTTAGGGTGTTTTGTGAGAAATAAATGAACTATTGTACCCAAAAATACTTTTTTAATTGCAAGTGCAAAATTAAATATTGTTAATATTAATATTTCTTTCTGATTTTAAGCTATAATTAGAAAAATTGAGAGGGGTGATTATTAGGAGAAAATAACTAGATAACTTAATAAAATTTAGGACCTGAGCCACTTCACCAAGACAATTGTATATAATGACAGGGGGTGCAAACTGCACAATGCCTCCTGGTGTCCCCTGGAATTATGTGTGCTAAGGAAAGATTCTGGGCTGTCAAGATTTGGTTGGTTACTGGTCTATATTTGAATACAATAAAGAAAAGCAAGTAAGTCAAATAATAAATCTAAGGTGGTACTTTCTCCATTTCAATTTAGTCATATTATTTTATGAGCTACAAGTAAGAAAGACAATCTTATATTCATCCAACTATGCTAAAGTTACCCCAAAGAGCAATGTGATTTTCCCTGTTCTTCAAAGAGTCCTTCTGTGTCCACTTTTTCTGCCCTCCTGAGAAAAATGTGAACAGATGACCTACAGTCTTTAAAAATCAATTTTAAATATGCTGTCCAGTTTTGCTGCTTGTGTCATAGCCAATGTCTTTTTCCCCATATTCTCTTGCATGAAAATTCGTAGCTGGTTGCTTCATTCCAACGGGGTTTTTCATAATGGCTCATTTACAGCTGGAATCTACCCTGCTAATGATTCCTTTTCCTTTCACCCTACACACCCCTGCTCTCCCTCCCCATGCTCCCAATGCCAAATTGTTACCATGACAGGCAGGCTACAGCTTGTCTAATTTTATCATTTGTCACTCCCCTGCTCCACATCCAACTGAATGAATCAGCTGCTCAATTCCTCCAGAACAAATGTGGCCTTTTCTCCTCTCACAATTTTCCTTTCCTGCAATATTCTTCCTCTTCTTCTTAGGTGTTATTTTAGTCATACAGCCATGCAAGTGAACTTTCAACAAACATACCTTGCATGCTCTGTATACAGTGTTGAAAGTGAGAGGCATAGGTTGGTTTATTAGGCATAGTTAGAAAGTATGAGAAAACAGGGAAGGGACTTCAGCTTGAAGAGCTGAATCAGGCACAGCTTTTGTGAGGAGAATCAGGCTGGCCCAAACAGAGGAATGAGACCAGTATTTGTTTGTTTGTTTGTTTGTTTGTTTGTTTGTTTTGCTGGCGTGGACTAAAGACTGGTTAATTATTATCTGGTTCTGAAAGATAGCTCTGGAGACTTCCTTATCAGTTAATCCTGTTTCCCTGAGAAGACTGTTTCTAATAGGAGCAGGCCGTTTTGTGGAGGTTCTGCTGGCATCCAAGGTGACTGTAGCTTTAAAGCAATGACTGGAGACGTTGTCAATTCTTGAATGTCCCTGTAAGGCTCTTACCTTGGTGTCCATCCTCAGTTCTCCAATTTTAGCATATGTGCTGCCAAAGTGAGCACAGTGTCCTCAATCTTGAAGGGGATGAGCTAGGTTATACAAACTTAGGGCTGATCAACCCTGTAGCGACAGCTTTTAGACAGACAATACCTAAATGATTAACATGCCTATATGTACAGCTGTGCAACGATGGGACCCAAAGTTTTAATGGAATGAAGGAGAC